AGGGTTTCTTCAGGTATTACCTAGGGAGGTGGTGGAGTCTCCTTCCTTGGAGGTTTTTAAGGCCCGGCTTGACAAAGCCCTGGCTGGGATGATTTAGCTGGGAATTGGTCCTGCTTTGAGCAGGGGGTTGGACTAGATGACCTCTTGAGGTCCCTTCCAACTCTGATATTCTATGATTCTATGATTCTATTCTATGATTCTATGAAGTTGGGCACCCAGAAAATGAGGATACACGGTTAATAATCACCCTTTTGAGAAACATCACGTAGGACATGTGCAGCAGAGACAGGGAGAGAACCAAGTTCCAGGTCTCCTACGTCTCAGTGTATTACCTTCACCACAATATCATCTTCTTTTCTCCTCCAACCCTCTCCCTCATTCATACACATCTTCCAACTTCTGCAACAAAAAAATTTGGGGCTGCCACAGAAAGCAGCTTCAAGCACTTAAAAAAAAGTGATTCTTTCTTTGAGCATTCAAGAAACTGAATAAGGGATCCTGTGGAAAAAATAGTTGGGAAGCCTTGGAAAGAAGGAACCTGACTCCCAGCCTTAAATGAGGTGGAATTAGGAGTGGGTAACCTGCTTGGGCACTTGGTCAGAGGGAAGTAAGTTGTGAATCCTCTTCCCCAGAGAGTTGTGCAAAGGGACTGGTGTGGGCCCCCAATAGAACTGAATGGCCTGAGGGCTGCCAGGCTGGGTTACATTGTCTGTTCTAGAAACAAATTGAATATAGTTTGAGAAACAAAATGATAAAACACCAATATGATGTTATTCCCATGTTCCCTAAGTAGGGCTGTAAAATCTACTGATTTCAGAGCTGATAAACAGATGTATCAAAATCTAACAAAATTACACGTTTTTTGTTCTGAGGGACTCCTATGAACACAGATTTCAATGTGGCACAAACAGGTAATTGACCAGTTCCAGCTTTTGACCCAAAATTACGATGAGGATTTTTCCCTCTGGATTTTAAATGCATATTAAAAGAGGCTGTCACTTAAACTTTATCCTCTTTTCCCCTCCCACCTTCCCCACTCCCCATCCCTCCCAAATCACGTCTGGCTCTAAATGTAAATATACAGCAGTAAAACAACAGAGCTAAAATTAAAAGATGAGTCCAAGGAACAAAAACAGCCAACAAATGTACTGTAGCTTGTTAGACTGCTCTCAGAACAAGATTTTTATCAGGAATGTTGTTGTCAGCGGACACCAGAATAATTTTCTCCTAATAAATTTCTATCTTGTGCAGACAGGCTAAAATTCAGCCAGTAAGAGGCAAACTCTTGGGGTATGACTCAGTCACTTCTACTACCACTGGATTAGATGTGTGTCCACGTTTCAAAATACAGTGAGCTAATAGATCTCATAAAAGGGCTTTGGGGTATTTTTCAAAACACAGTAGTGTAAAAGCTTAACATTTACTTTAAAAAGATTTGGTGCTTTTGGTTATTGCAGACTTTTTCTTTTAATTCAGAGGACGGGAGTATGCATAATTTTACATTCCCTGCAAAGCTGAAAGAAAAATATTGGTCTAAATAGGGCTTTATCTTCTTGTTGTTGCTGCTTTGATTCATGGAAATTAAAATACATTGTTTTTATATTGCATTACTTGCAATTCCTCTGAAATATTTATTCTCTCCCTTTAAAAATGTCTGCAAAAATAAGTGTGTGTTAGGATATTAGCAGATTAGTTCAGTCAAACAGTGCTAATTATAGGTTTAATTGCTTATATGTGAAAATCATTTATTTAAATTAGCTGCATCAAACATACAGTGTGCCCAAATACTGAAACATTGTGGTACTGGAAACTAGGTTTGTTTGTCCCTCTCTCCTTC